ATTTCATTTTGTTCATGTCACGTCAGTCAGTCACCACCTATACATGTTACACACATGACCCTTCCCTGTGATAGCATGGGTGGATCCAGGAATTTTGAAAGGAGGGGGTTCATGATAGAACGTGTTTCATGTAGACGCCTATAGCATGTACATGCTTATCTCCAGTGAGACCGTGTTTCATGTAGACGCCTATAGCTTGTACATGTATCATGTACATGCTTATGTAGACGCCTATTATCTCCATGCATGATCTCAAATGTGAACGTGTTTCATGTAGACGCCTATAGCATGTACGCTTATCTCCATGTGAACGTGTTTCATGTACGCCTATAGCATGTACTTATCTCCAGTGTGAACGTGTTTTATGTAGACGCCTATAGCATGTACATGCTTATCTCCAGTGTGAACGTGTTTCATGTAGACGCCTATAGCATGTACATGCTTATCTCCAGTGTGAACGTGTTTCATGTAGACGCCTATAGCATGTACATGCTTATCTCCAGTGAGACCGTGTTTCATGTAGACGCCTATAGCATGTACATGCTTATCTCCAGTGTGAACGTGTTTCATGTAGACGCCTATAGCATGTACATGCTTATCTCCAGTGTGAACGTGTTTCATGTAGACGCCTATAGCATGTACATGCTTATCTCCAGTGTGAACGTGTTTCATGTAGACGCCTATAGCATGTACATGCTTATCTCCAGTGTGAACGTGTTTCATGTAGACGCCTATAGCATGTACATGCTTATCTCCAGTGAGACCGTGTTTATAGCATGTAGACGCTTATCTCCATGAGCATGTACATGCTTATGCTCCAGTGTGAACGTGTTTCATGTAGACGCCTATAGCATGTACATGCTTATCTCCAGTGTTTCAGACCGTGTTTCATGTAGACGCCTATAGCATGTACATGCTTATCTCCAGTGTGAACGTGTTTCATGTAGACGCCTATAGCATGTACATGCTTATCTCCAGTGAGACCGTGTTTCATGTAGACGCCTATAGCATGTACATGCTTATCTCCAGTGAGACCGTGTTTCATGAACCCTCCAATATTGAACGTGTTTTCATGTTTCATGTAGACGCCTATAGCATGTACATGCTTATCTCCAGCATTGGATGTAGACGCCTATAGCATGTACATGCTTATCTCCAATTAATGAACGTGAACGTGTTTCATGTAGACGCCTATAGCATGTACATGCTTATCTCCAGTGAGACCGTGTTTCATGTAGACGCCTATATCATGTACATGCTTATCTCCAATGTGAACGTGTTTCATGTAGACGCCTATAGCATGTACATGCTTATCTCCAGTGTGAACGTGTTTCATGTAGACGCCTATAGCATGTACATGCTTATCTCCAGTGCGTCTGTATGCCAAATTTGAAGAGTAAAGTAAAAATGCAATCAGGCGTCGATTTGGAGGATTAGTTGTGTTGGGAGCCAGCTTTGAAACAAGCAGGACTCGGAATAACAGAAATGTATTTTTTATGAGAGTATGTACGGTTATATTGTACGAGTTAATATTTGAGGGATGCAATATTTTACTCAGAGACATACGGTACAAGTTGTCACTAATGTAATGTTTAATGAATGTTTGACCAAGATTATGATTTTGCATTATATGTGAATTATAGGTACAGGTCAAGCTAAACTCACTTTCACGTCTGGGGAGGGCCAGGCAGCACGACATGCTCACTATGACCCGCTGCACAAGTGGCTCACTCTCACATACTAGCGTCTACCCATAAAAAGGCAAATAGGTGTTAAGATAGACTAAGGCTTAGTCTCTGAATATATATAATTTTGATAGTAACAAACAAGCCCATTTATATTAAAAAGGAGCCCTAGGGAGACCAGAGATTCTGAACCTGAGGAAATCTAGACTTGCTTTATTTAGGGCTTTAGCACTGCAGAGAGGGCTTGGCAGTAGGGAAATTAATGTGGTTCAGGGACTGTGAGACAGACTAGTGTTAAGACAACATTGCACTATGGCTAGGTAAGAGATTTGAGCCAGGTAATTAACATTAGCCACTGAAGCGTGAGCCTGGGTTCAAGGTCTACATATAGTCTGTATCTACACTGCGACACGATTTAAGATGTATGCAAGTGTGTGTGTGTGTGTTTTTGCAATATTAAAGCACAAGTGGTTCACTCTCACTTAGCCAGAGTCTACCCATAAAAAGGCATTGTAAGACAACATTTCATTATGGCTAGGTAAGAGATTTGAGCCAGGTAATTAGCATTAGCCACTGAAGCGTGAGCCTTTGTTCAAGTGCTATAGTCTGTATCTACAATGCGACACGATCTAAGATGTATGCAAGTGTGTGTGCGTGTGTGTGTGCGTGCGTGCGTGTGTATGTGTGTGTGTGTTTGTAATAGTAAAGCAAAAGAAACATTTCAGATAAATTAATTTAACAAAAATGAATAAAACTGAGAAAGAATATTGAGAGAACATCGTCAAGCAACGAAAAGAGCTGCAGCAGAAAATCCAGTTATTTAACTTGAGGTACATTGAATATATATGTAGTGGTGATAATCACTGGGAGCGGTTACTGTTAGAAATGAACTGGTGTAATGAGTTGAGAAGGTTACTATTAGTTGGATTATCGTTCAGATAATCAGGAGTCAGACGATGATACATTTTATAGAAAGTTTAGAGCGAGTCAGTGTGCTATAATTGGTTTCCCTGTATATTTTATCGTGACTGGTTATCAACTTCTTCAATAGTTTCGACATTCATTCATAAGTTCGGGTTGACAAAGGTTTTCGTTTTTCGAGTGAACGTTATACTCTCAGTCTTACAAGTGAAATGAATATTTTTATTCTTTGATTATTACTTCTGAAGTCAGACGCGCTATTCACTTAATGTAGCTAAATATGTACACGAGAGAAGAATGAAGTTGAAACGCCGTGGGGACGCTTGTGCTATTTTAAGACATTGTTATAACGCTATGGCGGCAGTGTTTTCATCTGTATTATACTGTGCGACCGTAGGTGATCATCAACATAGCATGTTTTATAAAGCCACTGGTATGAAAGGAAACACACTGCTCTGTGACTAATAAGTTGGATCACTTATGTGTGACTGGTGAGAGAGGCGCGCAGCTGCAGGTAGGTCAAAGACACAACAGCTGGGATTCACACAGAGGCCGCGTCTGTCGTTTTGCCACACACAGCCCGCTGATTTGTTGAGAGATGGGATCACTGTCTTGTACATGGAGTAGATATCCACAAATACCACAGGTGTGACAGACACGGCTTGATGTAACTAGATGTCACTTCGAGACAGCCATATATATAGTAAGTCATATTTGCTCTCTTGGTCTTTGAGTTAGTCAGTTTTCATCAGTAAAGCAACATCTCGACTAAGGATTTGTGACTGATAAATGTCTTTCATTTGCTATATAATATGAGCAAACACATTCAGCACAAAGACGACACAAGACAAGTAAACGACATACAGCGACATCTGAACCTGACAGGTGTGTGGGCCTGGCTTTATTCCATACCTGGGGAGATAGTCCAAAGCTATTTCCAAGAATATCCAAAGAGAACATTCCTCTTTGATACATTCGATCAGATATGTTTTCCTTGTGATGAACAAAAGTGGAGTGACCAGAGTCCTTACGAGGTGTCCGGCATACAGCTAGCTGATAGTGCCCCAGCTCAGAGACAATAGGGCCCGGTTGGGGAAGGGCTATTGGTAGTGTGTATAGCAGTGCACATGTTGTGAGCATGCAGTAAACATGCTCAGTGAACTGGTTGTGAAGGATAGTTTTAGGCATGCTGAGCAATACCATAAAACAAGATGACTTAAACTGTGACATGAGATTTCAGTTATTGATGTACACATAAATTCTACTTAATATACATCAAACTATGAATGTGCAAACTCTGTTACTGACACAAAATCAGTGGTTTGAAGAGAAACACACTTCTCTGTGACTAATAATTTGGATCACTTATGTGTGACTGGCGAGGGTGCGTGGCGTGACCCGGAGCAGTTGGTAGGCCAAAGAGAGGCGCGGCGTGACCCGGAGCAGTTGGTAGACCAAAGACACCACAGCTGTGGCACAGCCTACATTTCTTTTGATGGAATATATCTATCCGTTACGAAAAGCAAAGTAACGCGTGAAAAAAAAATGTACACGAACACGCATTTTAATGGAATGTGCTATCTGTTCTGAAATAGTTTATATATATCAACACAATTGAGTGGAAATATAAGGCCATGGTTTGTTTTCAGCACAGACATGCTATTTTCAAAGTATTTTTGAATTTTGCATCAATCATGATATTATGGCAAAAATAACAGATTCAAGTGTTTTCAAAACCCACCGAAAGAAGAACTTTACTTAAAGAATGATAAAGCTATGTCCATGACATTGTTAAAACTATTAGCTTCACAATGGTATCAGTGACAGTGAGAAAAGTGGTTGAAATAAACCTGTTCATTTATCCGTCTTAATGGAGAATTATTACAGAAAAAGATACACGAATATTTTATGGCACTTCAATTTTGGTGAAATAATACCCCCCGTATACATTGTTGGGCATATCATTCTGTGATCAGCTAAACCTGCATTTTAGAAGTTTATGAGTAATCGATAGCAACTCCATTATTTTATTTGTATGCAATGTTTCGGTATAGATCCTTGTGGAGCAAGAGTTACTTTCGACAATGGTATAAGATCTCCACCGAAACAACATAACAGAATGAAGACGTTGTAATCCATCAAGTGTCTTTTTTTTATGATATACTGCGCACGAATTTCATTTTTAATTGTATGTTACTATCAAAGTATCACTAATGGTATAATGTGTAATAGTTTCTACAAAATTTGTCATTTACTAATCTATTTAGTTGTTCGCATCATGACAGGAGGTTAGTAAGCATACATCGTGGGTAAGATTCAGACTTGCAATATGCAACAACACAGGAGCTGTTTACTGTGACTTAAGTTGTTGTCATCTCCATGTCTGTGTTCTAGCAATCCTGTCCTCCACACTCTTTAGTATATTTGAGGCCGGATTGGAGAGTCTGGCAATTCCTATCAACACTACAGTTTTTGCCTGTGCATTACAAGTGTGTGAGATCTCAGTTCAGTTGGAGCTACCTCATTTTGTTAAGATCACTGGTCCCAATGAACCTTCAACTTATACCACCCTTCAATTTATCCCTCGGCTCACCGACCTGTGAAGATCCGGGTTAGAATTGGTCTTCAGTAAACCATGCTTGTGGTAAGAGGCGACTAACGGGATCGGGTGTTGAGACTTGCTGACTTGGTTGACACGTGTCATTGTATCCCAGTTGCGTAGGACGTTGCTCATGCTGTTGATCACTGGATGATCAGGGCCAGACTCAGCGCGGCGTAAAACAACAAACCAGACCAAACCTGTGCTCACCAGGCTTGGCTTGGGTGCGTCACGTGGCTACATGTCCAGTAATAATGTCTGTCAACTCAGAAGGTACAGTCTTAGGTCAACTGGATTTTGATGCCGAGAAGCTGCCTACATGGTCATGGCAACATCATGTTCATCGTTGCCTTGCATGTCCAAGTTCAGCCTGACTGCAAAGAGACCTAATTAAGATGCAGTGTATTCTGCAGTGATATGCTGGTCCTTCACCACCGAGTAAGAACACCCTTGCGGAGTATCGGGTGCCGTTGTACATGGCGATCTTAGCGCTAAGGTGATCGTAAATTCCATACCATAACATACCTGCTTTGTGCAAATCCTCTTCTCTCAGGTTTTCATACCTGCTACATGGATTGGACACAATTTGCATATGTATGCCTGTCTTCAGGGAGTTTGCTTCACGCTCTGCTCTAAGTAAACGCAGTAGTGTATCTTCACCCAAACGTTTGAAATTCGTCCAACCTGTCTGATTTTATCAACAGCCTTGATTACTGTATCACTTGATATCCTGATGCCTGATCCAAGATCTTTTGTAGCAAATTCATCTTCCAGTTAATTCATCTTGTTGGCCCTTGTTCTTGAAGCCATAAGTAACATACGGGAAAGAGTTTCGTGTAATAACCTCTGGCCTCGGAGTCATCTTGCATGTTCCTTTCCCTTCACATCTTGCCCATGCAAAGGTAGGAGCCCTCCGTCACAACAGAGACGAGCAAGACGACCAATAAAAACCATGCATGCCTCCAACTCTAAGAGAAGATGTCTCCCAGACACTGTAGGTAAACATTCCTTTGATTTAAAAGAATTGGACACAGAATGCTCCTTTATCTTTACACACACGAACGAGCTTCCATAGCAACTCCTTGTTTTCAGCACTGGTATACGTCTCAGTAACAGACGTGTCAGACGCTATTTGGTACACCTGAAACAAAGTAATACATCTTCATCAAACTTAGATCTTGCTGGTCATGTATGTTCGTCACTGCAGTATATCAACAACGGGTCCATCATATAAGTCTTTGTCGATGAAAAGGTTCTAATAGTTTACTTCAGTCCCACTTAAAATTGACCCAAATTTCACGAACCAGTACATGTATATGTAGCTAACAATATTATCTAAAACAATGTAGTTTCTTTTTAATCATTTATGACAGCTATAAAGTCAAACCGTGGTAAGTGTCACTTTTCGATGTATATGACTAAAGTCATTGTCTCATTTAGGTTTCCATCTGCAGATATTTCATATCATGATCTAAATGTAAAGTGATAGTGAATCTGTACATTTCATCAGCTAAAGCATACCTTACCAAATCATGTTCACTGTCATGTATTTTGATTGCCTTTTGACTGACAGTTGCTGGTATGGTACAGTTTCCTCTGAAACACAACAGCCGCGATGACACGGATGGTTGACGTGATATCAGGGATGTGATCGTGTTGACCAAAGGTATCTTGCGCCATCATGTTGCAGGTTATCATCACTTGAAAACTGAAGACATCCAGGCACAAACACAATTTGATCTTCTTGATCAATGGCGAGATGAGGAATCGCCGAACTTCATCAGAGGATACACAGTGTCCACTGAAAAAGACTTTATCTGTGAGCAGCTTACTCCAAACTTCATGTGAACGTACACGATAATACCAAAGGTTATAGGGGTTCTTACATGCCCATTTATTGAGGATAATGTTATAACAAACTGGAAGTGCTGTAAAATCATTCGAAACAGCATTCTTCTTTGCACCACCACAACCTGAAATGTGTGTCATTTTTCATAGCAAGCCCACATAGAAAAATCAAATAGTACTCAGAATATATCTTCTTTGCTAAAACTCAGCATGGTGTTACGTTTTACTATAGAGTAGTCCCATTATGTAGGTGTCAATTTTCTTTTGTACATCAGATTTGTAGTATATGAGTATCCAGTGTGGGCATCTCGTCAAGTATAGTTTACATGCTTTTATAACCAATCTCATCAAATCACTTTTATCTCTATTAAATTCGTAGTCTATGTAAAATATGAAGATAAGTAACACCTAGTAACATCTCACTTTTCGACATACCTGTACATGTACACAGTGACGGTGATTTCATACTTAAATAACGTGCCACAATAATGTACCAATCAGGTGTTTCACAGGAGCTAGAAATCTTCGAAAGGAAATCCTGGAGAAGACATAGAACGTCGACAATATGCACTGTTGTAATTGTGCATCGATATATTTGTTACAGCCATATGGCACCTTTATCGGTGTCCATGTATATTGGGTACGTCCACATATCTAGATTAGTTATGGTGGAATCAGTGGATGGTACTGATCTAGAACTTGGCTGACTTGAACCCTATTATACCTTACAGTCCTGTGATATCAGTTTATAGAGCAGATATATGGATATATCTTTGCACGACACACTGTGCAACACATATGAAAGGTATGTGATATTTCACCACATAAAGACACATTTACCAGTTACTTTTTGCCTATGTGGCTTGTGAGCCAGTGTATGATGTGGAAGGTGTTCGACCCGTAGCACATGTTTCCTAGCGTCCCACGATATCTCCACCACTCCACTTGCTGCATCTCTGTGTCTTCACCAAGAGCAAACAACTGGAGAAGTCAATTTTTTGGAAAATATTCACCCTCACCCAACACCACTTAAAGCCAAACACAACACCTACACGCGCATGTTTTGTCTGCAACAGACATAAATGTGAGAAGTGTGTTCAAGCTTGCTTAAGCATGTCTTCGTGTCCCAATTGGGTAGATGAGACAAAGGTGCTCCACAGATGGTATTGTGTAAATCTTGTGTATCTGTAACTGTGTATGATAAGTTTCTATACTTGTATCTCAGTTTTCTGTCACACTCTTCTATTCCTGGTTTTAGATGTCCACTAGCAGGAATATTGACCGTGGATATGCCTGGGTGATTCTGACAGTCAGCTGGCTACAGGTGGTCATCGCTGGCATGTTGTACTACTCAACCGGCGTCATCACTACGGCTGTTTTGGAGGAAATGGAGGAGGGTGTCGTAAAGTCGTCGTGGGTGGGATCGACGTTGTTGGGAACAGTGATGTTGACGGGTAAATAAGTTCGTGCTTGTAGAAGAATTCCAACTTGATTGCCTCAGCGATCTTCACACACAATGACTAACGTGGTATACTTGCTCTAGCAGCCACCACCTTCTTCCACGACATGCTCTTATCTTTTCAGGACCAATCACAAGCTCGCTTGTAAATTTGCTGGGTTGTCGCCTCTCGTCCATCATCGGAGGAATATTGATACTGGTCGGCATGGTAATCGCTTCTTTCGCCGACTCTATCAACATTCTCATTGCATCTTATGGCGTCGTTGTTGGTGAGATACTGGTACTAAACGTAAATCATTTTAAAAAACTTTGTTCTTTGTTCATTCCGTCCGATTGTTCCTGCTGCGGTTCGTTGAGAGTGACCTGTGAATGTTGACGGTGACGTCCAAGGATATCCGCGACGTGTTCAGTGGGTTAGGACTGAGTGCTGGTCATGGTAAGGTGGTTATGTGCTCCAGATGGAGTGAGTGAGTTTAGTTTTACTCCGCACACAGCTATATTCCAGCTATATGGCGGCACTCCAGATGGAGGTTCTCACTGACAATACGAACTCTGTGTGCTCTTCTGGTGTCATCTTCACAAAAAAACTTCCATGTCGGCTCGCAAATGTCACCACGTGTGCCTCCAAGATGTTGTAACGGTAGTACTGCCCAGTGACATGCTCGTGAATAACCTGTAAAGGTGTTCTGCGACAGTAATCCCACCCAACACAATTACTGAGCCTACTGAATTACTGAGTCAACGGCATAAAAACATTCATCCTGTTGCACCTGTCAAGCAAGACCAAAGTGAACCTTGATCCATTAGAAAACATAACGTTTTCCTACATACGGGTGGTCCAGCACTGCCGCTCTTGACTCTTGCTGCAATGCTTCCATCTGTGTTGTCGATTGCGGGACGTCGGTCCAGTCACTCAGACGCCTGGAGCTCTGTGAAGCTCATCTCCTATTTGGGATTTACTTTGACTACGGTTTCGTAACACAGTCGTTCTGATGAAACGGTCTTGTTCGCCAGTGTCGGCCTCTGTCACCAATGTTATTTCACTGCAAATTTAGAAGTTTACTCCGACTATATTCAGGAGCACATCATGAAACATGCACGCAGTGAATGAAAATTTCATTTTCACTATCATGGAATATACCCGGGCCTTGTAACAGTAATAATATGCATTTATTTTCTCAGCATACACAATAACCGGGCAGGTTTTTACCGGTGTGGTACCTTGATCTATCAATTTCATTTCAGGTCTTGGGATGAGTTTCATGGAGACAGCAGCCATTGTAATCACCGGCCATTATTTCGACAAGTATCGCCCTCTAGCAGCCGGGATTCAGACTTCCGGTGCAGGATGGGGAATGCTGATTGGCGCACCACTAGTGCGATTTCTGCTGGACACGTTCGGTTTAAGTGGAATGTTTCTTATACTGGGTGGAGTTGGCGCCAACTCATGTGTGTGGGCAATGCTCATGAGACCATCTCCATTCGAGAATCAGAGATCACCAACAAGTGAAAACCATTTAGAGCAGGGAGACAACACAAATCGGCACCTAGTCAGCTACGTTGTCTACCGACTTAAGGAGATAATGTATGAATTCAGACAAATATTATCCAATGTGAGTTTCCTTTTGTATGCGATATCCTTCGCTACATGGGGTTTGGGAGAATCTGCTTTCCAAATACATCTCCCCAATTATGCGGAATCAAAAGGAACGAGCCCACAGAGGTCGGCCATGTTATTTACAGCCATGGGAATATCAAGCATGATCGCTCGAGTATTGGGCGGGTTTGCTGCTAACGACCCTGCAATTGACTCCCTGATTCTTCACATGGGCACAGTCGGTGTAGCTGGTGTGACCATTATGGTGTTCACATTGTTTTCCGGCTCCTATCTACAACAGGTGATATTTTCTTGTCTGTATGGAATATATACCGGAGGGCCAATAGCTCTGTTCAACCCAATCACCGCGGATCTAGTCGGAGTGAAACGGTTGGCAACTGGATATGGAGCTAAGAATCTATTTGTAGGAGTATCGCTGCTGCTAGGACCTCCGTTTGCAGGTGTGTTGTTTCTTGGTGCCGGGTAGCCGAACTTGTGTACACAGTAAATGTTGCATGGGTTCACTGTCTGATATTCAAATGCATGTGTCCGTATAAAGGTAATACTTCTGAACATAATGTACATATTGTTTATTTCAATTACATGTAGACACTTTAAATTTGCTGATAGAAATTGCAAATACTTATCTACAAGTGTACATATGTATGCGCGTTAATAAATATTATTAAGAACATAATGTAACTGAAAAACGAAGGATCTTTGATAAACTGATCGGCCTGCCAATTTTCATCTTTAAATGATTTTTACTCTGTAGGTATGGTACTGGAAGTCTCGGGAAGCTATGATGCGAGCTACTTGTGTGCAGGTGAGTCTCGGCGAACTATGATCCTAATTTCTTGTTCAGGTGGGTCTTGGCGAACTATGATCCTAATTTCTCGTTCAGGTGAGTCTTGGCGAACTATGATCCTAATTTCTCGTTCAGGTGAGTCTTGGCGAACTATGATCCTAATTTCTTGTTCAGGTGGGTCTTGGCGAACTATGATCCTAATTTCTTGTTCAGGTGGGTCTCGGCGAACTATGATCCTAATTTCTTGTTCAGGTGGGTCTCGGCGAACTATGATCCTAATTTCTTGTTCAGGTGGGTCTCGGCGAACTATGATCCTAATTTCTTGTTCTGGTGGGTCTCGCGGAAATATGATTTTCGGCGAACTATGATCCTAATTTATTGTTCAGGTGGGTCTCGGCGAACTATGATCCTAATTTCTTGTTCAGGTGGGTCTCGCGGAAATATGTGTTTGGCTTCTTGAGGTATGTTGCTAGCTACATGTGTTCAGGTGGGTCTCGAGGAGTCGTGATGTAGGCTGAATGTGTTCAGGTGAGTCTCTCTTTAAGTTATGATGTCAGGTACGTGTGTTCAGGTGGTTCTCGGGCAGCTCTGTTAGAACATTGTGTCAAACATGAGGCTCTTTCTGAATTTGCTGATCTGTCTGGCCTCTTTTAAGATGTACAAGTCATATCGAGCTGTGTATGCAAAACGCATTATCAGTGACTATAAATATCAGCCCTCCTGTTACAGGTGCTGCCCTTGTGTTGGCCAGTCTCATGACAATTCCAATAGCAGCATTGAAAAAAGAACAGTAACAGCCAGCATCAGACGGACACTGACATTGAGATGACAGTGAAGCCTGTTTCTAGCGAGGGCGATAAAGATGAAACCAGCGACAAACTAGAACCCCTACTAACCCCTCGATGGGATTCTGTGGAGGAGGAAAAATGTGTGGATAACGCATGAGGACAGATGTAAATACCACACAAATTTGTTTGTTCAACTTGTTCAACAATGTTTAGCTGCACCAGCTGACGTATCAGCTTCATGTGAGATGCAGTCCCGAAATCACATATCCGAGACACCTTGTCACTGTGGAACCTGACGACGACTAGGTATGTAACATGACTCACATGACGGGTGTTACATAGAGAATTCCAGTGCAAAAGAATAGCCAGTCTTGACTGTACTCAGAAACAAATTCCATTTGGTGTAAAGGATAGATGAGGCTGAGCTGTGACAGTATATCCACAAACCCTGGCACGTTATAAGCCGATAGCAACTCCTACATGGAGATTATAAACCTCGTGTGTTTCCGTATCATTAATATAATATATTAGGAATAAAAATTGTATCATGCGAGCCTTTGGCAAGCATAATACATGTACATATTTTTTTATGCGAGCATAATACATAATTTTCATTCCTAATATATGATAGTAATGATACGTAAACACACGAGGTTAATAATCTCTTTATCATATAATGTCATTCTTAAAATTACTCTAAAAAGAAGCAAATCGTACGTGAATTTATATGAAGAGAATCGAGCATTCGCGTAAGAATACTTAGCGGTACACCAAGGTAAAGGTCGTTCATGACGGCGACATATGGTTGTGACTAGTCGCTAATACAGTGCGAACATAACTCATGCCTAAAATAAGATCTTTCTGTTTAAAAGGGACAACAAAACCGGGCAGGGTTTTCCTGGCAGTGTTTCTATTTTCATTGCGGGTAATCACCCCATCAATATCAGTTTCTGATACCTGACGGAATCGATTCGTCGTCTGTATTGTGATCGATAGATCAAAATCCTTGGTTGGTACCTTTCTTATACGATTGCCTTTCAGTCGTGCCTCAAAATCCGTACCTTCAATTTGAACGCAGTACTCCGTTTCAAGATTTCCAAAATCAATTACTGCAGTAAAGACTCCAGAACCTCTGTCATCAATTCTTACAGAATCCCCAATTTTGAGAATGGGGGCAGCCATGTTTGTTTACAAACAGTGTAAACTCGTGACGACGTCATCGATGAAATGTTAAAACGTTTTAGGATTCGCATAGCGTGTATGGAGTTTTGTGAAAGTAGTTCGTGGATTTGCATAGTTATCAGATTTGGATACCAAGTTTATCAGATTGCTTTATTGCACCGATAACAACCTTCATTAGATGGTAAATGACTGTTCCTTCTTCAACTGTTTGCTGTTTGAGTCAGGTTAAGACCGAACATTATAACAGAGTGGGCATGTAGTGTAGACTCACCTGTAAATTAGATCAACACAGTGAGTAGACGCAACTGACAATATGTATGTGTATATGTGGAAAAACTGTTAAGTATCTCGGTTAATGAGCATGTTTCTTGTGTCTTAACATCAACAGGGCATATACTGATCTGATTTTATACAGCGTGGGAGGGAGAAGATGGGAATAGTTGTCATGTAGCTGTGCTGCTGACATCAGAGCGTCATCAAACAACAATGCAGTACTGCAAGAAAACGAGGCAGTTTCTTATTAGCCAAAGCCCCAACCAACACTGACCAGGTTCCCTGATCAATAAACCATGAGCAAATACACAAACTCATTAACTAAACAACGTATAACTGCTATTCTACCATGACTTCAGTAAATACTGGATTATGTTTGGTTAATCAAAGTCATTCAAAGGTGTATAATTACGTTATATACCCCTGATTTTCCAACACAGCATGTATTTTTTTTAATCTTAATAACGCGGGTATGGTAGAATGGAGATAAACGTATTGTGTTGGAAAATCAGAGGTATATAACGAAATTATATAGCTCTAAATTTGATTTATAACCGTACGCGTTCGGTTTAAATCAAATTTAGAGCTATTATAATTTCGTTACATACCTCTGATTTTCCCAAGTCATATGTTTATCTCCAAATTCTAGAAAATAGCTGTCTGACGGGACAAACTACAAGATGCATAGAAATACAACTGCGTCAGCCTTGAATACCAAAGTACTAGAATCTGTAATCTCAAATATAACCTAACCACCCAGCTGCAAGACGACGTGTAACAGTCAATGGATAGTAGAACTATTAGATTATCACAGAGCTTAACTTACAACTAGCTTGTTATCATAAACATATCACTCTAGAGAACAACACGATATAAAAACGGACTATAGATCACCAGCAGCTAAAGGTAGATCACCATACCAGGCACCATGGGGACTTACAGTACTTTTCCTACCTGCATGTGCTTCCCTAGCTGGAATTACATCATTCCTCCAGGTGCTGGCAAATTACCCATACATTAAAGGAACATATATTCCCCAATTAAAATCGCCGAAAATGAAAACTACTTTGAATGAAATGGGACTTACGTACCCTTCCAGGGGGACAATTATTTTACGCTACTTCAACAACATGTGAGTGAGTGAGTAAGTATGTTTTACGCCTCCTTTAGCAATATTTTAGCAACATCGTGGCGGGGGACACCAGAAATGGGCTTCAGACATTGTACCCACGTGGAAACAACCTTTGCAGGCACAGCCAATGATAATCACAGTATTTTATTTAAAATTTAATTAAAACAATTTCCGTTAAAAGTCCAATAACTAATATCAGGAAAAAGATCCTTCATAGATGATAATGATTCAAAATATTGTTCCCTTCTGATTGAAAAAATAACACCGGCAATCAATGTATGCTTGACCATAATTCTGTTATCACAAGGGATACCCAATGGAGGATCCTTAATACATAGTCATGAGTGTATCTGTAGTGGCCAATTGCAATACCGCATCGTCTTAAACTGGCCTCTTCAAATCTGGACTGACAGCCAGAGTAGGTGTAGTCGATCGGTGGTATTATTTCATATTATTTATTTATACATACTTGGGTGTCCCACCTTTTTTGCATTCGTATTTGGATGCAACAACGTCTTATAGCATGTTTATAGTCAGTGTATGGTATCAGAAGTGGTCTCGCAGATTTGGTGAGTGCTGCCGGGGCAGCAGAATCAGCCATTGTGTGACCCGAAATTCCAACATGGCTGGGTAACCAACTGAAGACGATGTCATATTGGTCAGTAGCAAGATCATTTTATAATTCGAGAATTTCGATTAAAAGCTAGTGTTACATGACAAATTTTTACTGGCCTGAAAAGCAATAAAGAGAATCTGAAAATATTATGTGTTGTTGATATCTAGACTGTTTATTGATATATTGAGTAGATAAAATGGCTTTTGCTTCGACTGTGAAAATCGAACTGTTGTCTGGTAATCATGAAAACATTGTTCTGGATCCAATGAGTGAGTGAGAGTGGTTTTACGCCGCTGTTAGCAATATTCCAGCAGTATTACGGCGGGGGACACCAGAAATGGGCTTCACACATTGTACCCATGTGGGGAATCGAACCCGGACCTTCGGCGTGATGAGCGGACTACCCCACCGCCCCTGGATCCAATGATAGTGGCCCAAGCAACTGCTCACCATCCTTGGACCCATATGTGAAGATAAATATACCATAAATGATTACATTCTTGTTTGCAGATTAGTTTGTTAGTTTCAGATTTCTTGTGTTTTGTTTATGTAAGTTCCACCTGTCGTCTCACCATCCACTTCAAGCACAGAAGTCCAGCAGTGGGTCCACAACACATTTTTAGACGTCTAACTATGCAATTACATGATAGTGCAGCAACGGCCTTGCACCATTAAAGAAGCGATCGTCAGCCCACCTGCCTAGCCGCTGTCCGAGGGTCAAGTTCCGTTACAACAAGAATTCAACGCATATACGGACTGTCAGGCAGCCCTGTCTCTTATCACGGCACATGTATGGCCAACCTGCAGTATCCAGCACCTCATCCACAATGTTAAACGTCTGTAGCCAACCGGCTATACTTTCAAGTTAATTACACGCACCTGACCTGCACCTGGCCGTACTGTTGGCCTTGGTAATAAGCTGCTGTTATTACATTTATATTGACAGCACTGCGACGATGTAGATAACATAACTTTAACATAACAAACATGTCCATACTCCGTTAAAACTCATATGCCGCCAAAGTGCCCACGATACAGGTATAATTCTTCTTCCTAGGGGCAGAAAAAGAAAATATTTCTTATAATGCAGATCCTCAAAAAGAGGATTACAAACATAGTTATATGCAGGGTTGAATTCATGAGAATATAGATAATTCGATACGGTAATGTTTTAATAATGGCTCATCGGTCTCGACGTAAAGGCTACCAACAGGAGAAATTGGAGAACATCCAAGGCATAGTCCTTGGTGGTGGATAGATGGAAAAACGGCCTCGCAATTCAAAGTCATATTAATCTTTTACAATCCCGTATTTCCTTGTAGTGTCGTTTGCTTTTTCTAAAACTACAGAAGCTGACATCCATAAATTCTCTTAAACGTCTTTAGGTTCTTTTTGTCATTGTTCGTATTTTACACATTTGCCGTGACGCCATAACGATGAGTATCAGGAAAAGAGATAATACCCCACAAAGCTCTAACAACCAGTACCCCCCTACTCCCCATGTGTTTTAACGTTGCCCCAAAACTATGTTATATTCTCTTTCGACGTTGGGCTTATTGTATCAGTGAAAGAATTCACCCTTTGCCTTTTATCTGGTGTTATTATCAGAGCATATTTCACACATATTTATTTCTACTTTTATGTGAAAAGAGGCATTGTTTTAAATGTATGTACTATAGTCTCCCATAAATCTACAAGAATGCATATGTTTTACTTGTATATAATATTGCTGTAGGCCTACATACGGTGAGACTTCAATATACTGTCCCTGTCTGTCTGTTCCCATATCCCAACTACCGACTTCAGAGAGTGCCTGTGTCATCGATGTGGTAGGTGTGTTTAACCAAAGCGTAATAAAGTTATTAATAGGGGAACAAAACGCTACACCATAAAACACATGTAAAATGTAAAACTTACATATTGATAGGGGTGTATTATAGAAAAAATAGATAAAGAAATAGCAAAGAATAAGTTAAGAATCGAAAAGAGATTATCCAAAATCATGAGAATAAAAGTAGGTTAGATTCGGGCTAATGTATTCAATAATTACCATAGCAGGGCCGCATGAACCTGAACTATAATAATTGAAGCGCGAGGTTAGCTACTATAAGCTGGCCCGAAAATATTTCTATAGTTTTTTAAATGTCAACCGACGGTTTTACCCTTACCTTACGTGATGTATACTTGTTGACACCAGGCATGCAGACGACGGGACACGAGAAGGTTGGTCATTTGCATTTGACATTTTGTGAACATGATCTTTCTTATGAGAGATCTACGGCTATTTTCAATGTTAGACATTCAGTTTTAATGAATTACAATGCAACGATTCGGAACATTGTGGTCAGTAAGCGTGCCATTGTGTGTACAAAGAAAGTACCGCATGAAAAGTACGATACTGAATTTACAAGATATCACGGGAATTACCGTGGTTACTTT